TTTGACACACTCGCTATTAATCAAATCAGAATTGATAGTTTGATAGTCTATTTTACTGCACTAAGTTAGAAATCGTGGTATCACGCAACGCAAGATCATTGAACAGTTACCCGGGTCAGACACGACTTTGGTAAGTATGGGTCGGATTGACAGACATAGGTACGTATTGGCACTTCAGAAACGACCTATGTAACCCTGGGCAATTGTGGTCATGCCAAACACGATTTTATCCATGCAAGGTCAGACACGACTTGGGTAAGTATAGGCAGGTCAGAAAGGACCAATGTTACTTCAGACAGGTCAGACACATAATATTGGTAGGTCAACACGACCTAAGTAAGTATTGGCAGTTCAGAAACGACCTACGTAACTCTGTACCGATCAGTAACGACAGTATTGTCTACCTGACACGACTACAGCAACCGTGGTCATGCCAGACACGACTTTATCCATGGAGGTCAGACACGACTATGGTAAGTATGGATTGGACACCCACGACTAAGGTATGTCGTGATAGGTCAGACACGACTAAGGTAAGTCTTGACAGGTAAGAAACGACTAAGGTAAGTACTGGGTGTCAGAAACGACTAAGGTAAGTATGGATTGGACAGCCACGACTAAGGTAAGAATGGATTGGACAGCCACGACTAAGGTAAGAATGGATTCGACAGACACGACTAAGGTTAGAATGGATTCGACAGACACGACTAAGGCAGTACTAGATGTCAGACACGACTAAGGTAAGTATTGATTCGACAGACACGACTAAGGTAAGTACTGGGTGTCAGACAACACTGTGGACAGGTTAGACACGATTTTATCCATGGAAAGTCAGACACGACATATCTAACTGTCGGTACGTCTCGAAGGACAACTGAATGACTGAAAAAAGAAAGCTTTCAGCATTTCATTAACTAACCACCGTGTCAGCTTGGTGCAGTTTAAAAGCCTGGAGTAATACAGGCCCTGGATATTTACCACTTTAGTGAAGCCCTCAAGCGCGGGAATAATGCTGACATTTCAGGAACCATTATCAGACCGAATCTAGGACACAAAACCACGGTCATAAAATTCCGACATGCTAAACGGACGCTGCCATGCACATTGATATGTTGGACAAGGATTGGTTTATAAAATAAATACCCCAATTATCTACCTTTATTGTGTGTACATTTCTCTGGAACACCGAGAAAGACAAACCTGCTTACAAAACACTAATGCTAAATCTCCAATTATATGAAACTTTGACAGAATAAAATTGAAATTCAATTTAAACAGAAAATGATCCCAACTCGCTTTATCTCTGAGAACATATAATTTTGATAGTAACAAGTAAACCCATTTAAATTGGAAAGGAGCCCCAGGGAATTGGGCCCCAGTGACTTGGGAATTTCAGAACCCGGAAAAATCTAAACTTGCTTCATTTAGGGCTTTAGCATTGCAGGAGGGCTGGTCAGCAGGTAAAATAATGTGGTTCAGGGACTGTGAGACAGACTAACCCACACGTGAAGATCCGGGTTAGAATTTGTCTTCAGCAAACCATTCTTGTTGTAAGAGGCAACTAACGGGATCAGGTGGTCAGGCACACAGACTTGGTCGACATATGTCATCGTGTCCCAGTTGCGTAGATTAATGTCCATGCTGTTGATCACTGGATTGCCTGGTCCAGACTTGTTTATTTATAGCCGGGATATTGCTGAGTGCAAAACAACAACAACAACAAACGAAAATGAGAGATTCAGAACCTGAGGAAAATTTAGACTTGCTTCATAGATAAGATAAGATATCTATACCATCCCATGAACGAACAGTGGCAATATTCTGTAAACTACAAATATAAAAGTTTCATATAAGGCTTTCATATCACAGAGAGGTATGTGTGGGAGTTAGACTCTGAATATATATAATTTTGATTGTAACAAACAAACCCATTTAAATTGAAAAGGAGCCCCAGAGAACATGAGGAAATCTGGACTTGCTTCAATTAGAACTTCAGTATTGCAGGGAGGGCGTGGATGTAGGGAAAATAATATGGTTCAGGGACTGTGAGAGAGACTAGGTGGAAGGAAATATAACGGAACTGTGAGACAGACTAACTAATGGCGTCCACGATAGCCACGTTACCTCTATCACCAGAAAACATGCATAGAAAACAGGAGCTGTCTGTGGCCCCAGCCAACTGCAGGAAGCGTGAACGTCGGTATGATACCAAGTGACACGTGTTTTCAACCGTGTTCCTTCAGCGAAAGAAATCTTATAGTTGGATGCGAGAATCTGATCCAATTTTGTGATAATGGGGGGATGAGATAAAAAATGATCCTTCTCGCCCGACCCCCCAGTAAACTAGCATCAGAGCTATCTGTCGAGAGATAGCTCAATTAGAACCCACCTCTGCGACCTCTCAGAGCCGATGTGTCGTGAGAGTGAAAGCTATCTCTTCTGTTTATTTTACCGGACTTACACAAACAGGATCATTGTGCTACGAACCGGCGGGCCTGGTGTGATAACATACATAAACATGTCTTGATATGAATCTATATTTTTAACAGTCAAAAGTTCTTAAACCATATAGTTCTCCGAGTAGATTTAACAACACGGCTGCTGTGCGTACATTTGAACGGAGACAAGAAACGTACTCGACAACTCTCCAAGAGAACAGATTCAGGTTATAACTTAAATAAAGTGATTTGGGAGTTGGTAAACGCCGAATTCTGAATATTCCGGCTTAGTTGCGGCGGACTGGACTGACTGACTGAGTTTGGTTTTACGCCGCTTTTAGCAATATTCCAGCAACATCACGGCGGGGGACACCAGAAATGGGCTTCACACATTGTACCCATGTGGGGATTCGAACCCGGGTTTTCGGCGTGACGAGTTAACACTTTAACCACTAGGCTACCACACCGCCCAACGCGGCTGACTGGAAATAGTGGAATCTGGATTTGAAAATTCAGTGATGGGTCCTTAGAGAAGGGTTAACTGTCTTGGTACTTGGGCACACTCTGGTGACATACAGCGGTGACACGCTATGATGACATACTATGGTGACATACGATGATGACTCACTATGGTGACAGACTATGGTGACACGCTATGATGACACACTCTGGCGACAGACTATGGTGACATACGATGGTGACACACTATGATGACAGACCATGGTGACATACGATGGTGACACACTATGATGACAGACCATGGTGACATACGATGATGACACACTCTGGCGACAGACTATGGTGACATACGATGGTGACACACTATGATGACAGACTATGGTGACATACGATGATGACACACTCTGGTGATATAATATGGTGACAGACTATGGTCACATACGATGGTGACAGACTATGGCGACATACGATGGTGACATACTGGTGATATAATATGGTGACAGACTATGGTGACATACGATGGTGACACACTATGATGACAGACTATGGTGACATACGAAGATGACACTCTGGTGATATAATATGATGACACACTCTGGTGATATAATATGGTGACAGACTATGGTGACAGACTATGGTGACACACTATGATGACAGTGATGACGCACTACCAAGTCACTGAATCTGACCACACTATCCATTAAGTTCCTTAATGCGACAAGCATTGGCAACCAGGGACCAGTTCTAGCCTGCAATCCCTCGGGGGAAAAGGAAACAACTTTAAAAATACATTAATGGGGAAACGCTTTTTGACCACGTGAGCGTTTACTCACATGTGACATCAATATTCCGCATTACGTACGACACGTTGTCACAGCGAGCTGTCGATACGTCAGGGACGTGTGCAACTACACATACGGAGATCGAGTAATCGCCCTGTTAGTTGCGAAACTATCAATCACAACTACAGATAAGTGGGCATTATTAATACTGCATATTATGCATTATTTATGTAACTTATGCATGCATGTAAGCAAGTGATAAACGACGACATATGACATATATTAGTGTGGACACATGAATCCATGTCATACCACCATATGAATCAAACACCAAACTATCATGAATTATTCTGAATGAATTTGTGTGGAGGTGGCACCGATCAGCTGATTGTGTGTTTTAGTGCACTGGGGCTTCCGGGCTTCTTGTCAACAGTACCAATCATTGGTAATTACAATTCAATTTTGCAGACTTAGTGAACTTTCACATACCTTCCTATAAATGAATATTTGACTCCCGTGGGAGTCTGGGTAAGAATGGACCTCAGCTGTATTGGTAGTTAGTAGATAATATTTTGGTGGGCAGGCTTTGTGAGTTGATTAATTACGGGTCAGCGAGCCCTAAAGGGATGAACAGTTGCTCATAGTATCGATCACTGGATTGTCTATTTCAGACTCAAATATTTAAAGACCAAAGCTATACAGTTTGAATTTTACAGGATGAAGCATTAAACAAATAAACTGTTTTAACATTTTGATAATAATAGTAATAGTATATGGGCTAAATCGAGAGATTAGTATAGAGAGAACTGGCTTTGTATACCTGTATATTCAAACTAGCTCTGGTATATCAACGTATTATTACAGCCTGTAGAAGAAGAGAATATCTTCGCTGCCAGTGTAGCCCAATGACTGCTTGATATGGAAATAATATGTTCACGAATCTTCTAGGTTATTCATAACAATATCTGAATATCGTAATAACCATATTTCGTTATTTATCATCATCTGTACATCATCAGTAAGTAAAAAATATATGTCTGTTTTCTCCGCCAGCACACGCGGCTTGTAATCTGTGTACGTAAACAACATCCCAGTTGAAACCTGTAGCAGCTCAGCTCAGTCTTCTCCGTAACAATTCATTATTCATGTCTCATAGATAACCCATGAGCGTCACGGAGGGAATATGTTTATCCTTCGCGTAAAAACTCCTGGAAGGAATAACAATAAACATCTAGTAACGAACACATGGCGTATCATACGCTGCACCCATAGCTGCGTATAATATAGAGCATACTCTGAAAGTAATTTTGGTTCCACTTACCACATTTCTTGGTATCCGTGATAGTCTAGGTACTCCGAGAGAATCGCAACTGTGTACCCGAAATAAGATCCCTCAGGACCGGAGAAAAATTTCGGATCACGAGTGTCGATATTGAAGGCGTGGACATTCGTCACCGTCGCCGTCCCAAGGAATGACATCAGAAATCCGACATAAACATACATGATCAAGGAACTCGTACACGTCTTTGCATTGAAGGTTTCAAATTTGGAAAAGTTGCAAACAGTTGGTTTTCGTGTAGATGCGGCGCCAGTTTGTGGAATTATTTAAATCTGCGAATTAAGAATGAACGTGCGTGGTAATGATTCCAACCTGTAGACTTCCTCTCATAGAGTTTTCAAAACAACCAACCAGTCGACGCGCTCCGAATGTGTGGTCAAGATGCTGAAACCTCGGGTTGCTATGGAATGTCGCCGTTACCAAGCGACCTCGCAGCGGAAATGAAACACAGCCAAGCTAACAAACATCTACACAGCGAGATGATTCAAACTTTTCAACTTTTTACAGCGCCCCCGACATCATCCGACGAGAGCCCCTCCTGGCTTTATACTGAGATATACAACCGAATCAGCTGAGAGAGTTATCGTCTGCTACTCGCTTCAGTACGACTGAGAGACCGCGCGCGCGAAGCGGAAAATAATTGGCTGGTGCTTCCGTCGCTCCAAATATCAAACCTATTTAGTCATCGCCATTGTTTGATTTGTCACCTTGTGGCGATAGCGATACTTCATCTAAGAATATCTTTAACAATATTTCTTCCCCGCAGAAAAGGATTGAAAGATCAACTGAGTGTCAAATCTCAGACATCTGCGATGGTAGTGTAAGTAAAAACGTCCATATGTTTCGTTTTCGAACCTGTTGATCAACCTACTGACTGAAAACAAGTCAAGATGTCTACCTTCAAGGGCTGTTTTATACACAATATGTCTACATGCCTGGTCCGATTCGTTTCTGCCAAGATCGATTCATGTTCTGTTCCATGTGCCGCGATAATAGTTTCAGTGTTGTCTGGCAACAACCTCGCTGTGCGAGTTTTTGACAACGAGGTCGTTGAAGTTGTGTAAAACAGAACTCAAAGACATCCCTTTGACAAGTGCCACTGACACAAGGCTCAGCTTTTGCTTGCGCTGTGACACGGCGTCAAACATGACACATCTAAATCTAATTATTCCATGTGGAAAATTCCGATCCTCCAAACAGCTACAAGCTATTGGGAAGTTGAACACATACTTTGTCTTGTGATATCTCATGGCCTGCAGTTGACAGACTGTTAGACTAACAACTAGTCTCAGAGAAAACAGTTCAAAATAATAGAAAAAAAGTAAAATATAATGAAAATGAACTTTAATACCTTCTTCATTTTCCTGAAACTGTGGAAATGTAGACTTGCCACATATTCTGGGCTTGCATGAGCTTTCGTGGGTATATTTGTTTCAGAATCGGTATGACAGACTAACAGGCTTTTGTTGACGAGATTGTCGGCGCATTGCCTGATCTCAGGAATCTGTGATTTTAGAATATATATTTCAGGATCAATTTCAAATTAATTAAGGTTATCTGAAGAAATGCATATTTCTGCTTCTTGTAAGATAGATTTGAAACTCGTAGTAGGGAAGTTCGTGTTGTGTCATTAACCTGTGGATATACAGGTATATGATTACTGCGTTGGGATGAGTGAGTATGGTTTTACGCCGCTTTTAGCAATATTCCAGCAATATCACGGCGGGGGACACCAGAAATGGGTTTCACACATTGTACCCATGTCTTCAGCGTGATGAGAGGACGCATTAACCATTGGGCTACCCCACAGCCCCGGGTTGGGCTGAACAAAATAAACGACTTGGTATTTCTAGACGATTCTGACCAATGGGAAAAATGGGTACACCTTTGTAAACATTTTGTGGTACAGAGTGTGGTACAGATCCACAGTTATGGTGGATGTGCCCTCGGTGTGGGGAAGAGCGTATCTGTCTATGCCTACAAAATAACACAATAACATAGGGAGGAATAACGCTCTTATTGCATTGGGTCAGTGAGTGAGTTTAGTTTTACGCCGCTTTTAGCAATATTCCAGCAATATCACGGCGGGGGACACCAAAATGGGCTTCACACATTGTACCCTTGTGGGGAACCGAACCCGGATCTTCGGCGTGACGAGCGACGCTTTAACCATGAAGCGACCCCACTGACCCTTTATTACTTAAACATTTCTGCATCTTCCAGTCATTAGGCAGCCTTTTAAAAAGGATTACCCTGTGCCTTTTTAAAATGAGATCTAAGATCATCAATTTCAACCCATATGCATTCTCAGAGATGTCATATGTCGGGCGCACACACTCGCAAGTAGTGGATTATTTGACACCAGAAGGAGGAACAAAAACATATCTCATCTCATCGAGATGTGCCCGTTTTGTATATACGAGGATAGTTAAGAGGTTTGTGCCCTGCTGTTTCTCCTGGTTTGTGACTCGCTGGGAAACGATCGCTGTTAAATGTCTTTATCCATATAATGATATGTTTTAGGGTCGGCGTTTTGGAACAGTGCTTATCTGAATCAAATGGACTCTGATTTCTGGCCCTTTCGAATCGACTTCTGCTCCCTAGGGGTCAATTGATCTACAATCAATTGCTTTCTGGTTTCCGGCCTTTGTTTTAGTCAACTGCACTCGATATAGTTGCACTCGGGTTTCGACTCTTTGGAAAAGTTGCACTCGGGTTTCGACTATTTTGATACAGTTGCACTCGGGTTTCGGACCAAATATTATCTCTTGTGTTTAGCTCCTTTTGAATCGGTTCCACTAGGGCTTCGAACAGTCTGAATCAATTGCACTCGGGTTTCGAGCCGTCGGAATGAATTGCACTCAGGTTTCGACCCTTTAGATTCATTTGCACTCGGATTTCGGATCAAACATTATCTCGAGAGTGAGTGAGTGAGTAATTGATTGAATGAGTGAGTGAGTGAGTGAGGTTTTGGGCAGTTTTTAGGAATGTTTCTGCAGTGTCACCGCGACGACACCAGAAATTGGTTTCACACATTGTACCCATATTTGAAACCGAACCCGGGTCTTCGGCGTGATTAGCGATCGCTTTAACCACTAGGTTATCCCACCTATCAGTACTTTGGTTCAAACGGGTCGAGTCTGATGAGGGCAAGAGGACCTTCATGAAACAATAGATATGGGGGTCCCCCTTTCCGTCGATCCTACTCCCCAAGAAGGCGTCCCTCCTTGCAGTTGAGCCGGCAGAGTGTGCCTGTATACAAATAGCGGTTCCCTGACTTTTGATTATCCCTGTGGGAGAGTTGTTTGATCTGGGTAAGCGTGTTTTTGACCCTCCTATCTTTCACGCCGAAGCGATTTACGATCAGGGGAAGAATGCCTGAGATAAAGCACTCTTACATACCTCTGTTTCCCAAATGCTCTACAGGGATGCTGTTCAGGTAGAAAGAACTTTTACTCCACTTCCCGGTGAGGCATCCTCCATTCGCAGGGTTTCCCTTCACTTGACCTTGACCTTCACACTGTGCACTTTTTGGATTGTCGTTAAATAACAGCGTCGATATCGCAGGTGCTTTCCAAGATTTGACAATGGTCAACAATAATATATCTTCAAGATTTACAACGCTACAAGACTATAGCCATCAATGTCACGTAATTTAGTATGCAAATGAATGTAAATCAGTATTGTTTTATCAGTGTTTTCAAATAATCAACGTCAACTAGATTTGGGAGGAAATTGACATAAACGTCTATTACATCGATGAAACCCTCGCACACAGGTAGGACAAACTAAGGTTCATAATCAGGACCAATCAGCGTCCTGACGCAATCAAGGGAAACAACTCTGCCTAGAAAATTACTCTTCAAAATTCTTGCTACAACGTTTGAGTCAATATTATCCGTAAAATGTCAAAGTTAAATATAGTCCACAAAGAATCTGTATTATCTGTAAGTTAAAAAGATCTCTCTCTTGAGTTCCAGTGAAGATCCGGACTAGATCTTGAGTTCCCGTGAAGATCCGGACAAGATCTTGAGTTCCCGTGAAGATCCGGACAAGATCTTGAGTTCCCGTGAAGATCCGGACAAGATTGGTCTTCAGCGACCCATGCTCGTCGTAAGAGGCGACTAACGGGATCGGGTGGTCAGGTTCGCTGACTTTTTTGACAAATGTCATCGTATCCCAATTGCGTAGATTGACGATCATGCTGTTGATCACTGGATTGTCTGGTCCAGACTCGATTATTTACAGACCGCCGCCATATAGCTGGAATATTGCTGAGTGCGGCGGTAAAACAGTCCATTCCTGTTGAAGTACTGAAGGTGAGTGTACTTTTATCAATACACTGTATTGTGAAGGGGTTAAAGTGCTCGTTTTGTCACGCTGAAGACCCTGGGTTCCTGATTCCCCCTAAGTTGGGTACAATGTAAAATTCATTTCTGGTATTTCCCAATGATATTGCTGAATATTGCTAAAGTGGCATAAAACTAAACTCACTCTCACTCACCGTGTTGTGGAATATATACACAACACATATACATGTAAGGTCAAATATTGACTCTCTGCAGAATCTGTACAAAAACAATACAGTTAACATAAATTACTTGAGAACAAATTTACCATGCAACACATAGAGAATACATACAGACAGAGATAACGGGAGAATAAAGTTAGTATACATAACTGTAGAATACAGTTGACATAGATACTAGACAATACAGTTGACATACATAACCGGAGACTGGTAGTTAACATAGATAACTGAGAATATAGTTAACATAGCTGCCTAGATCAGTTAACATAGATTCCCAGGTGGAACATAGATGCCTAGGAGAAATACAGTTGATATAGATAGATTAGAGACAATACAGTTAACATACATAACCGGAGATTATAGTTAACATAATGCAGATAACATAGATGACTAGAGAATACAGTTAACATTGATGCCTAGAGAATACAAAGTTAACAACATAGATGTCTAGAGAATACAGTGCTAACATATAGATTCCTAGAGAATACAGTTAACATAGATGCCAAGAGAACACAGTTAACATAGATTCTAGAGATTACAGCTAACATAGATGCCAAGAGAATACAGTTAACATAGGTGCCTAGAGAATACAGCTAACATACATCCCTAGAGAATACAGTTAACATAGATGCTAAGAAAATACAGTTAACATAGATGACTTATTAGAATACAGTTAACATGGATGCCTAGATCATACAGTTAACATAGATGCCTAGAGAATACAGTTAACATAGATTCCTAGAGAATACAGTTAACATAGATGCCAAGAGAATACAGTTAACATAGATGACTAGAGAATACAGTTAACATGGATGCCTAGATCATACAGTTAACATAGATGCCTATAGAATACAGTTAACATAGATGCCCAGAGAATACAGCTAACATAGGTGCCTAGAGAATACAGTTAACATAGATCCCTAGAGAATACAGTTAACATAGATCCCTAGAGAATACAGTTAAACATAGATGCCTAGAGAATACAGCCAACATAGATACCTAGAGAAGATATAGTTACCATAGATGCCTAGGAGAATACAGTTAACATAGATGCCTAGAGCATGCAGTTAACATAGATGTCTAGGAGAATACAGTTGATATAGACACCTTGGGACAATACAGTTAACATAGATGCCTAGGAGAATATAGTTTACATAGATGCCTAGAGCATACAGTTAACATAGATGTCTAGAGGATATAGTTAACGTAGATGCCTAGAGAATACAGTTAACATAAACAACAGGAGAATATAGTTAACATAGATGCCTAGAGAATACAGCTACATAGATGCCTTAGAGAATACAGTGCAACATAGGATGCCTAGAGAATATAGTTAACATACATAACAGGAGAATATAGCTAACATAGATGCCTAGGAGAATACCAGCAAACATATTCCTAGAGAATACAGAATAACATAGATGCCTAGAGAATACAGTTAACAATAGATGCCTAGAGAATATAGTGCTAACATAGCCGCCTAGAGAATACAGTTAACATAGATGCCTAGAGAATACAGTTAACATACATAACCGGAGAATATAGTTAACATAGATGCCTAGAGAATACAGCAACATAGATGCCTAGAGAATACAGTTAACATAGATGCATAGAATACTATGCCTAGAGAATACAGTTAACATAGATGCCTAGGAGAATACAGTTCACATAGACTAGAGAATACAGTTAACATAGATGCCTAGAGAATACAGCCTATGCCTAGAGAATA